CCCCCCCCCCCCCCTCCCTTAAAGAATTCCTAGCCACGCCACTGTCAACGGAAGACCCTCAAACCTTCGTAACTCGCCGGTGCGATTCACAGCACCCTTAAAAATCTCCAGGTAAAATCCGGAGAGAATTCTACTCCAGATTCGAGCCTATTTTGGCCTCAAAAATCCGAGTGATATGATGAAGGGTTGGAATCTGTTCCGTGAGAAGAGTTCATTTCACTCTGTGAGAGCGGGACTCGCCCCGCAAAAAGGGTAGATTCCGCCTTAGACTCGTAGCACTCCGGTTTTGGGGGACAAAATAGGCCCCGGGGTCAAATACCCTCCAAGCGCACGGATTTCGCTCCGAGATTTCTATCAGTAAGCCGGGCCGATATCGCTCAATGTCAATACAGATCTGGTCCTCGATAAGTACCAAGTGGACCTTAACTTGATTGGCTCAAATTCATTCGAGTCAATGTGTGGATTAGATTTACCGCCCCCCCCCCCCCCCCCCCGCGCGCGCTCATATCATCGCCACCCTCGAAAATCTTTGACTTGCATCCTCACTTTAACTCAGGGTCTTTCCGTTGTGCTTCAAAATTCTGTATAAAAAATATAGGTGCATCAACATTCAACATCTCATTTAACTTTTATTTTGACGCACTGTACAGTACACGCGATGCGAGTAACAGCAATGATAAGAAGACTTGATTTGAATTGAGGGGCTTAGAGGACAGGGCGCACAAGTGCAGATTCTGAAAAAATGAAGATATTAGGGTTTCAAGTAATACTAGTCTTAATGCATATTCTATGAAAAATTCGCATCCAAATTCAAATTTTTAAGCATCAGAAAGTCAGTTTGAACTTTATTTCCAGCTTAAGGATCCACGTAATTTCTAAACTTCAAACACGAATTTCTCGAAGTAGCAAAAACTGCGCTTATGCGCTTTGTCTCGACCCAAGCCCCTCAAATGATGTAATGAGTGATTCGCCGACTTCGAACGTCACGAACTTTCAGTCCTAGCTCTTGACTCCTTGGTGACGTTTCATGATTTTTACTCTCTTTGTTTGTTCAAAAGGCAAGTGATACTTAAAACTAAAACTTATAAATAACTGCATGTATAATATGAATAATCATTGACGTATATCATAGAGGAGGGAGCTAAGTTGAAGTACCTAAAGGACTATGTGCTGCCGAAAAATATCAGGTTGGTGCCATGAAAAGATCATGCTGGTATCAACATGGTACCAAAATAGGAGTTAAATGAGCCCTATTATGATATGAGTACCATGTTGATGCTAACCTGGCATCAACTTGGGTGGGACCAATATGGTACCGGCTAGGGCTCAACATCATCCCATGTTGGTACCATATTGCTACCTGTTGGCCACAAGTCTTGGCCTGTTGGCACATCATGTTGATGCCATGTTGATAACGAAACGTATCTGCCGCGGAGGCCATTAAAGAATTTTTCAAATTGCCAAAACAATTATTTTACTCGCTTGCCCCATGTTGTACAAAGGCCAGTCGATTAACCAGAGTGCCGGGGTCCTGTAGCTTTCTGGGCACCTGACCGACGCCCTGGCCGTTTGTTTATTATTACCACTATTTTTAATTCTTTATTTTAGCGAGAAATCCGACTAAATCCTCTAGGCCCTTTAAGTCTAAAAGACAGGTTTAAAGGGACACTAAGACTGAAATTGTGGGTGTCATGGGGCCGGGGCCCTTAAATAGTATTTGGGGCTCCTAATGACCGTTGAGGATCTGAGAGCCTGATACTGAAATTTCGGTGATCTCATAAAATCCGCGATTTGCGGGCCCTTTGCGTAAGATGATTCCGACAGACTCTTCGGCTCTGCACGTAGTAGTTTTGTGCTCACATCTTACATCTGTGAGCAACTATTCGTGTCTGTGAGATGGCGCGGCGCGGCGCCTCTGTGGAGCGGAGAGTGTCTGGCGAGTTAAAACTCCTTCTCTCTCGTGCATATGCAACATGGACATCCATGAAGCCCGAATAGTTGCATCATGGAAGGCGTTGCAATGAAATCCGTTCAGTGTTCGCTGCATACGACACTGACAGAGGGCACTGCTTCTTGTTTTGCGAGCACCTTAACCTTAACTCGATTCTACTTCTTCTGTCATTTGAGAGGGAAAACTTGCTCGGCGTAGAAAAAAATCAGCGATCTGGTTGCTGTTTCTTCGAAAGAATGCTTTGAGGCTCCTGCCTCATCTTCGGATGTGTAGTATTTTCGTGAAATTCCATATTATTATGCATGAAATCACTAATTCGAGTGCTTTTTTAATGTTCATGCTTTCCTTGACGAAAATGACGGTGGGGGACATAACCTTAAATGGACTGAGTTAAGCAGAAAGGAACCAACCCACATTTTGGAAAAAATTGAGTTATGAGTGGTTTTGAACTCGACCACTGCTATACCATCTATCGCCAAAAATTCAAAGTTTTTGTTGGAGCAAATTTTGCAGAAACAGAATTTGAAGTTTATCTTTTACATTGAGTCTTATGCAGGAGACAAACTTTAAACCTCCTTTTCTCGGTTCGATCCCGATGTGGCTTGGTTCCCTTCTGTTTAACTCCGTCCAAATGAGTCCTTCGGTTTTTGGGAAACCGCCTTCAATTTAGAGAGTATGCAAGTGTGTGGTCCCCTTGAACCCGCCAGCATCCCGGGCTCGCCCACGCTAATCCGGCCCTGCGGGCCAATTATTGAAACTGATAGACAAAGCGATAGACAAAGAAGACATAGGGAGTATAGAGCGATCCTATTGGTTGACATGGTTGGTTCCTATAGACTAAGGAAGAAAATGATGGAATGAAGAAACTGTCGGGTCTTTGGTTGGTTGCCGTTAGTTAGTCCATTACCCACCTCCTATGTCCATTGCCACCACCCACTTCCACCAATAGGATCCCTTCGAATCCCTTTTGTCGTCTTTGTCTATAGCTTTGTCTGTAAGTTTCAATAATCGGCCCGCAGGTTGATGTACCATGCTGCCGTCAACATAGTACCATGTTTTACTCATCAGAATATATTTTGCAACAGGGATAGGTATGCTGAAAAATATTTTAATAATTGACCACAAAGATGCCAGGCAGGGTTGTCGGCTTGCAAAAATTAGAACCAACACGCTGAAAATGAGAGTCGTCGGTGGCCGGCTGAATCGCTCCCTGAAAAAGAAAGTGCAATTTTCAGCAATCGATGCGAGGATCAAGGACGGAACGAAGTCACCCGGAGCGATTCGAATAAATTTTGTTCGAATTTTCCTNGGGGGGGGGGGGGGGGGGTCACTACAAAATGAAGATGTTGCATGTGTAAGGAATTGGCAATTTTACTGTAGATTCTTACGTAAAAGTTCGCGAGAAACAGGATGGTGCCAATGGTTTTCTCTGAAATCAACTCCGAAGCTCAAAAAAAGCTCTCAACTTGAGGCCAAAATGGAGGGGATATCCTACGCTATTCTGAGGGTCCACCTCTACATCAAGACAAACTCTCCATGCAAAGATAGGGAGCAAATACATTGACAGGGCTGCCGAGTTTTCAGTTTTCAGTTTTAGAGTCCCCAAATAAAGTGGCAGCCCTGTCAATGTACTTGCTCCCTATCTTTGCATGGAGAGTTTGTCTTGATGTAGAGGTGGACTCTCAGGATAGCGTGGGATATTCCCTCCATTTTGGCCTCAACTTGAGAGCTTTTTTTTGAGCTTGGAAGTTGATTTCAGAGAAAACCAGTGGCACCATCGTGTTTCTCGCGAACTTCGACATAAGAATCAACAGTCAAATCGCAAATTCTTCACACATGCAACATCTCCATTACGACTGTCGAGGAAAGACTCATGATTCACATTTTCGGCTCACAATTTCAGCACTGATCGTCCTTTAGGTTAATTTGGCAAACTTTTCGATTTTCAGTCGGAGACAACAGAACCACCTCTAAAGCTGCTTTGCGTTGGTACTTGGTAGTGACCCTTCAGCCTAACCATGTTGATTCTGGGAGTGATCATCGGCGTGACGCTGAGTGTCATCGTTGCGGACTTCCTCACCAAACACAGTAAACTCATTAGTTTTGAATGATAATCAGTAATTTCTCAAACACGCCCTAAGCACACACCTAGCCATGTATACGTTGTACGTCGTGGCAGCGTGTATGATTGCCTTGATACTCAGCGACCGGCTGGGGTATGATAAACTCAAATGGTTTTAAATCTGCATTTTATTCCATATCCAGAGCTTTCTTCGGCACTCTTTCCTCAATTAACACTCCAGTGGCAGTGCCAAATGAAATCTGACCAACATGGGCGTAGCTAGGGGGGTCCGGGGGGGGGGG